GCTAGACATGCTATATTGTCCTTAATTTCTCTAACAGATTGGTCTAGCGAGTCTAACCTCTTGTTGATGGCTTCAAAATGTCTACCATTGTACTCTACTATCCTGTGATAGAGTATGTCAAGTATGTAATCAATAGACATACCATCCTGCAAACGAGGTTGTTGTTGTTGTATTTGTTGTTGTTTTTTTGTTGGGGAAGTTGCTGTTGTTGTTGGGGAAGTAGTTGGAGACAAGCCAATTGTTTAGGAGGCTTCGGTTGCTGGACACGGACCATTCTTGCACCAGAGTCCAAAAACGATGCAAGTTGGTCAATCTCAGGATCTTCTTGGTCGGCATAAGGCAGATACAACCTCATGCACATACTATTCATTTCCTCCTCAATGGGATAAAGAATTGGTACGGCCATTCCCTGTATATTAAAAGAACATACATTCAATGATTATTTAGGTGGAAACATATTGTAAAAAAAAATAAATATGCCTATTTTGTAAAAAAAATACCTATAAAAACATTGTATTTAACCCCTTACCTCGCCACTTTGCATGAGGTCGTCTATCTGTCTAACCTCAACCAATGAAACCCGGCGTGCCTCCCATTTGAGGATTCTGGGAAGACGTTCATCAACCATCTTTGCAAATGTGGCACCGATGGTTGGAAATGTTTCGAATGCCAAACCTGCGTTAAACCAATTTTTTTAAGTCTAGTAAAACAAAAAACAATGTATTATTTACTATAAGGCCATGAAAAATTATGCATATAACTGTATGACATACCTAGAAGGCCCAAGGAAACCCGCATATTGAGTAGGTTTCCTTGATGCTCTTATTACGTCATTTCCGAACCCATTTCTGAAATTTCTCTTTCAAGTTCTTCTTCAAAGCCCGCAGAGTGCATTCAAAAGACACCCTACCCCATGGATAGTTGTTGAAGAATTTTAAATCGTCGACGTAAGACAACCAATCCAGTGGGACGGTCTTCTTCTCGTCCCCAGATAGTAATACTTGTGCTAAAAAATAAATGATAGCGATCTTTGCTTTATCGCTACCTTTTATCTTCTTCCTTGTGAGCAATTTCTTTAAATCAGCAACAAGTACTACGTGGGACTTAAAATGCTCCAACAATCTTATATTCTTCAAAGCTTTTAAAACCACGTCCGGCTCTGGGGTTTCCTTGAAGTTCAATCCAGTGATTAAAGTAAATTCCCTCATTCTGAACCTAGTTGGTTTTCCATTAACCATGAACCACAACTCATGTCTCTTTTCTGTCTCTATCTGCCTCAAAAGCAGATAGTGTGTCAACACTCCAAAATAGATCATATTTTCAGACATCGAAATAAAATGTTCGAAGGCAGATTTCTTGAAAATTGGCATTTCCGTTTCGGGGTCTAATTCTGCCTTATTACCTCCAGAGCCTCGATCTTTGACTTCATAGTGACTTTCACTGGGAAGTACTCCCGCATAGGATCCATGATCATCCTTAGATGTCCAATCCCAGGAAGTTCATCTGTGTTGTACTTCGGGAGGTCATACTGAAAAAAAAAACACATCGGTCAGAACTGACCAAGATGACAGAAGCGACTAGAATAGACCAAGAAACTAAACAAGAACGGACTGAACCAACCATGTCCCGACAGAACCGACCCCAAAACCGACCAAGAACCGACCCTGGAACTGACCAATGACCGACCAAGAACCGACCTTCACCTAAAACTGACTAAAATCAACCAGAACTGACCCTTCTCGACAAGAACCGACTAAGAACCGACTAAAAATCGACCTAGAACCGACTGCGAACAGACCAGAACCAAAACCGACTAAGAATCGACTATGAACAGACCAATGTTGCTTATATTAAGTTTTTGTTCTTGCAAAAATGTATAAGAAAAAGTAAAACAAGAATATTACCTGAGTAGATTCCGTTGCCTCGTCGACAAGCGTTCGGGAAATGGCCGTTTTAATTGAGGAAGAATAGCTGTTTTGTGATGCCATTTTAGTCTAAAAGTCGCCGGTTTTTAGTTAGATTTTGGTGAGGAGGTGGTCGGTTTTTGTGGTCGGGTTTTTGGTGAGTGGTCAGGATCGGTTTTTGGTTGGTTTTAGTGGGAAGGAAGGTCGGTTTTTTGTTAACGGTCGGTTTTTGGTGAGGTGGTCGGTCGGCCGACGAGGGAGATCGGAGAGAGTGGATCGGCCAGTGAGAGAACTTCGACGAGAGAGAGAAAAACAGGTGAGAGGAAAGCTGGCAGTCGGTGATGGTCGGTCGTGAGGTTGGTGACTGATCGGAGAGAAAAGCCGGCGGTCGGTAAGAGGAGATCGGAGAGAAAAACCGACGAGAGGGTCGGTCGGTCGTGAGGAGAGCTCAGTAGGGGGAGAGAGGGTCGAGCGGTCGGTTTTGTGAGGAGAGTTTTTGAAAATGACCCATACACTTACGTGGCGTTTGGTTCATGGATTCAAACCATGTTATTAGAATTATTTTTGATTTACGTGTATTTTTTATGAGAGAAAGTACTGTAGCGAATCATGAACCATGATTCGAAACATAGAACGAATCTAGGTACCAAACGGACTCTTAGACTAATAGAACCCATTTTTTGCCACGTACGATACACGTCATGATTTTTTTGTTATAAAAAAAAACTGATCTACTTTCTCAATTTGTGTTTTGCTCCGGTCTCTTTTATCAAATTTTCTCTTCCTTCTTCCCGCTTTAGTCTTGACGTACGATTTATAAGCCGGAATCCCAAAAAGTCTTCAACAACAAAAGAAAAGAAATCCCTCGACATAAACCTAAGACAAAGCAAACCCTTCTCACTACGCAAAGCCCGCTTCAATTTACACTCAGAATGTCTATATTAACAGTGAAACAAATTCCCTTTCTTCTATTTCTTTTGAGTTTTGAAGCAAATGCAGAGCAAATGATCATCAATTGTTGCTGAGTTCGATATCGATCCACCATAAATTTCCGGTAATGTTGTGATTCTGGTAATGCTTGGTTTAATTCTTGGGGTTTTTATTTTTTCCTCTTGAGGAAATGGCTAACTGGGATTTCGGTATTGTGAGATTTTATTTTAAAGTTCTTAATTTTTGGTTATCTTGTTGTTCGTTCGTTTCTAATCTGTAATGGGTTTTTGTTATTTAATCCAAATTAACGGAATTTGGTTGTTTTATGTGAATTTCTTTTTGTAGTAACGGGGATAAAATAGCATTTAAACGCGGAACACAAGAGGGAAAAGAGAGAGAGAGAGATATAAAAAGATTGAAGAGGATGAGCCTTCATTATCATCCTTTTATTTTCTAGTAAAAGGAATAGTTTTTTGGGCTAGGGAAGAAAGGATATGACTAGATATGTAATAAAATTGCTTTCTTAGAGATCTGGTTTTGAAACTTTTGTGATTAAAATTATTGGCCTTGAGTTGAGTTAAAGGGTATAAGCAATTTGTGGTGTGACTCAAGTGCATTTACTTTTTGGACGGTTAGATTATGATTAGTGAAGTCTTTTTGTATGTATTTTGGGTTTTGACACTCTATTACTTGCTTTATGTTTTGCAGTAACCAAAAATGAATCCCAATGGAGTGCTACTGGAGCATACACTGAAGGAGATACTGGCTGTGCTTCAACCCGAAAGTAATGATTGGGTGGCGCGGTTTCAAGTCATTGAGGAGTTACGGAGAGTTGTGGATTCTCTGGAAAGTATGAGAGGTGATTTATGCTGCATTTTCATGGTTGTAATTTTGAATTTGTTTTGTTTTAGTTGGTGATTATTTCAGTGTCTTCTTAACTTGAAGGTAATTGTTTTTGTTGGTTAGAAAGGGTCAGTGACTAATGATGTATATTCTTGAATATTTTTGGGACTAATAGGTGCAACTGTGGAGCCATTTGGATCATTTGTGTCTAATCTCTTTACGCGCTCGGGAGACTTGGATATTTCTATTGAATTAGCCAATGGTTCATTTATTTCATCTTCTGGTAAAAAGCATAAGCAGAAATTGCTTAGAGCTTTGATGGAAGCCATGAGACAGAGAGGTAAACTTGTTTTACTTGTTGGTTCTTTTTGGTTTGTCATATTTTTGCATACTTGTATAATTTGATTCCTCATATTTCATAAGAAGAAATCTTTGAATGATCTGGTAAATCTGTAGAATAGCTAATATTTATACATGATTATATTTAGGGGATATCTTGTTTTTTTCTTCTTATTATTAGGGGAGGCGATTGAATCATTGTTCTTTCTCGTTTGATTCTTCTCAATTTTACATCTTAAGTTTTTATTAGTAATGACATTATTGATTTGCAGGTGGGTGGAATAAGTATCAATGCATCCCAAATGCAAGAGTTCCTATATTGAAAGTTCAAAGCAATATCCAGAACATCTCTTGTGATATTTCAGTTGACAATCTGCAAGCCCAAATGAAGTCCAAAATGTTGCTTTGGATCACTGAAATAGATACACGCTTCCGCGATATGGTGTTATTGGTACGATTCTGTTGGTTGTTAAAAGTTGCTATATGTAAGGAGGAGCATTCTATATGATGCACTGTTCTAGTTTGTGTAGGTAAAGGAATGGGCCAAAGCACACAATATCAATAATTCGAAAACTGGGACTTTCAATTCGTACTCTCTCAGTTTGCTTGTGGTCTTCCATTTTCAGGTGATCCTTTGTCTCTGTATCTAGTCTAAGTTTGAGAATAATTGGAAATATAAGGAAATGTACCTCCTATTTCAGCTGCACCATGGAATATATCTCTTGGTTTAAAGATGGTTTATGTCGACCTCCTAAACCTGAAGTAAGAGATGCTATGTTTCTTTGTGCTTTTTCAGGCACTTACAGTTTACTAATGCAGTAAGAGATATAAGATAAATAGGCTTGTGTCAAACAGTTCATACCATTGATTGGATAAATTCTTAGATTGTTGAGTCGTTCCCACTCTTTGTTATATCTTTCATTCCCTCATTCTTCACCTATTTTATCCTTTCTTTCTCTTTTTGTATTTATCTAGCTTCATCCTTTCTGATGGTCATGTACAGTTTACTTTTGTTAACGAAATGTCACTATAATAACTCCCACCCAATTCATATTATGCTTTGATCTACAATTGTATAATTGCCAGTAACTTTTTTTCCCTGTTGTGGGGCTGCCACATTAGAATAATCTTAATCCTAATTTTGAAAAAAAAAAAAAAGAATATTCTTAATCCTTGTGGTTTTCTCTTTTTAAGTTTGTGTAGCCTTCTACTGTTTCCATGTATATGTTAAATCGTATTTGGTTAACTTACCCAATTCCATGTGTGTCTCTAGAAGTTCTAACATGTCATTTTTTTTTTCTCTATCAACTCTCTTTTTTTGTCAGACATGTGTACCTGCAATTTTTCCACCTCTTAAAGATATATATCCAGGAAATATTGCTGATGATCTTCAAGGTACTTTTTCTACTTAAATGTTATACACACACAGCATCATTCAAGCTGTGTACCTGGCAGATTTGCATCACTTGAAGAGATTGGTCTCTAAAATACAAACTATACTATGACTAGGACCTTTATCTGTTGATGTTAGAGTGCAAAATCATATTAGAAACTAGAAACATCACGTGTAAAGGAAATTTCAAGTTCTTAGTACACCCAAATGACAAAAAAGAGCCCTTAAGTTATCAGCTTCTTGAGAGTTGCAAATTTTTATTTATTTATTTATTTTTGTGAGGTAACAAACCTCGAGGATTTTTGGGACTAAACATTAGCTCTAATCATGCAACTAAAAAACTAAAATGAAATTGAATTTTCTGTATGTGGTTCCATACTGTGTTTCTTTATATAGACGGTTCTTTTTCTTGGAATCAAGATGAACAAGAAATGGAGGTATCTTTTGGGTGTTGCCAAACCTTTTGACTGAACTTTTGTTGAGTTAAAGCATTTAAGCATAATATACTAGAAATAGCATATTATATAGTTGATATGTTCTCATAGATTTGAAGAATATTTGCTTCAATGTTATACGAAATTCATTTTGCACTTGAGTGTTTTGCTTAATATATATTATATATTTATATAATATATAGTATAGTCAAGAAAATTACTGAACTTCCTTAAAAGTGCATGGGTCTGGATTTTTCCCTTAGTACCCTTTTGTTAATATAGTTATTTGATTAAGGGTATTAATCAAGAGTAAGGGGGTAAAAATCAAAACCCATGCACTTTTAAGGGGTATTTGTCAAGATTTCTCAGTCTGGTAGATTGGCCCTTTAACATGATTGTGATTGCCAAGTTGCTCTCTTTCTCGTCATTTATTCATCTTTGAACTTTGCAGGTTTGAGAGCGAACGCAGAGAGACAAATTTCTGAAACATGTGCTGCAAACATAGCTAGGTTCAGATCACAGAGAGGGAGAGCAGTTAACCACAGTTCTTTGTCCGATCTTTTCATTTCGTTCCTTTCAAAGGTTTTTCTTTCGATTATGACACTTCTCCTTTGGAAGCAATTTCACAGTGCATGTCATGTGGTTTGCTCTCATAATGGTTGAAATTGCTTTGCAGTTTGATTTATATTCACTTTACCAACAAACTATCTCATACATTGCAGTTTTCCAACATAAACTCGAGGGCCTCAGAGTTAGGAATTTGTCCGTTCACAGGACAGTGGGAATATATAAGCAGCAATACAAGATGGTTGCCTCAAACTCATGCAATATTTGTAACTCCCCCTCAAGTTTTTCTCTACCTCCTGGTTAAATATTTTGTATTAGTCCCTCTCTTTTTTGTGCAAGTTAACTTTTGTTTCTTATAGGTCTAATTTGGTAGTTTTATTGCTTTTGTTTTGGTTAGATTGAAGATCCTTTTGGGCAGCCAGAAAATAGTGCAAGGGCCGTCAATGCGAGCCAATTGACGAAGATATCAGAAGCATTTCAATCGACCTATCGCAGGCTCGTCTCACGTAATCAGAACCAGAATGACTTTCTTGCTCCTTTAGTACGACAGCAAACATCTCAATTGATTCCAAGGAACCAAAGATACAATCCCCATAGTGTCTATCAGCCAACTCGTCCACAGTGGTTGACAGCCGATTTCTCGCATCCACCACAGTACGCGCGGCATGGCAGTGGCCGCCACCAACAAACGCGTCCACAGGTGGCATATTTGACCACAAGAGTGCCTAACGCTCGGGCATATCAAGTTCAAAACCAGCAGCAGCAATTGTGGAGGCCAAGATCGCGGAGATGAAATGTGTTGCGAGCTGTCGCAGTTAGAACGTTTCTCACGGTTTCAGGTGTCTGTTTTGATTGAAGAGAAGAGAACTTTAAAGTACATGCCAGCTTGATTGAAGAATTAGAACCTTGTCTTTGGTCACTCGTTTAAGGAATTTAAGACTTCGTGCCCAAAGAGGTTAATCAATTTAACCACGCATGTATTGGAGATGCGTTTTGTGAAAATTTGTTCAACTCCTGAAACCATTTTGATTGCTAGAATGAAGATTGAAGCATTTTGCTTGCCAGCATAATACAAAATTACAAATCAGCCCCCTTTTATTTTCTTTCTTTGTTTTTCTTGCCCCTTTCTTTCTTTCCTTCTCTTTTCTTTCTTTGGCAGAGCCAACATTCAGTCGGTTCTATTTTTTAATGCAAAATTTCCGCATTAAGTCACCCAAAAGAAATAATTCAGGACATGGTCAAGCATTCACTATTCATAGCACGTAAAAGTTATGCCACTAAGCTAATTATGTTCATAATAGAAAATTGGTGTCGGCACCACGCAACACATACAGCGTTGAAAAAAAAAATGAAATTCACATTTACTTTACCAGAAAAAAAAAATTATATGCAAAAACTACGGAAAATATGTAGTTTTAGCTAAACTAGTGTTATGATCCTATATTTTACAAGTTGCATTAAAATGAATTAAAAAAAAAAAGTATTGAATCTCTTCCAACGTACAGTCGTTGCGTTTTCAGTCTTCACCAAGCTGACGAAGATCAGAAAAAAAAATACCATCTGGGTCTCCTTGTCCCAATGCTTTTCAATTCATTTGTGTAGAAGCCGTTTCTCGGCATCAAAAAGCCTATAACTTGCATGAGGACCCTCAGCAGTGTCTCGTATAGTTATACGCCAGCCCATCGCATTTCCAATCTCTCTAAGTTCATCCATGACTGAAACAGAGTCCCGGATGTATACTTTCCCACCGGGTCTTAGAATTCGATCCATCTCAAGCATGATTGTGGAGACATTGCACCTACGCAGCAAATAAAACACAATAAATAAGGAGAGGAAATGATAAAACAAATGATATAATTAAAGCTCGATAGTTCTTTACTCAGTAAGATGAACACCTTTTTTTCTCAACGGAGAAGAGGCCAGAGGCATGCAAGAAATCGTAGGTTCTGGGATACGTGTCAAATGGCTCACACCTGATAGATATAAATACAAATTAGATATAGTCAAAACATAAATATTGCAAACAGTCCAAACAAGTTAAATATTTTTTTTAAGAGAATCAGAATGGTCGAGATGAAATGGAAAAGGGGGAAAAAAGTTGAGTGGAACAAAAATAGAGAGCAGTATCCAAAAGAGAAGTTTACAAATTAGTAGAGTTGGCCATTATAAACAGTTAAAAATCACACCAGTCATGCATAACTCCGATAAGTCCACGATCATATATGACCGGTAATGTGTTGGGCCCACTAACAGGAACTACATTCATAACCCAGGCATCCATACCATGGTCCATCAATGCTGCTGCAAATCTGCAAATACCAAGTCTTAGATCATAAGTTCCCCATCTCTCTCTTTATTTTAATACAAAAGAAAATGCAAAGCAGGTTCGTAGAGCACGGGAATAAATCTTGTACCCTCCAAAGCCAGCTTTCATGTCCATTACGTTTCTAAATTTAGATTTCCTCTTCCAGTAAGCACGGACATATCCGGATATGATATCTTTCCAGTATTTGTGTTCTGCCGTGAACAGCTCCTTCCTAGATATATATGCATCAAACTGTATGGATTGAAGCCTATCAGGGGGAGTCTGTAAGCGTTCAGGCCACTTAGTTACATTTGCTCCATAACCATTTTCAGGAAATCGAGTGATGCACGCCTTCAGATCAGTATACCTAATGATGCAAAGGATAGAATAACCTAAATTGTTAAGCTCATACTGCCTCGAGATCAACATTAAAGAAAAATCACACTACATTTTTCCTTCACTAACTATGTACTTCAAGAACAAGTACATGACCCAACTATATGTATGTGTTCAAATTCATACAATAATAAAAGGCCCAAACTTTGTATCATGATAATAATGCTGGTTTACGAAACTATCAGATGATCACTCTTACAAAAGTAGAAATTCAGGGGAAAAAACGTTACCACACTTTGTCGGGGTCATCATTTGGATCGCACAATGGAGGTTGAGTTCCTTCCTCTCGGTTCAAGTAGCAGCTGTTGTTTAAGGGCTTCTTCCATATGGCATTATATCCATCCTTTTTCACAAACTCCCAGCACAGACGAGTCGTGAGGTTTAGCATCTCTGAAAAAATAAAATAAAACCATCAGAATAGAAAGAAAGGGACTTATTTCTTGCTTGATTCCAGAAAACATAATTATGAACTAAAAATACCCAACAACTCAAGTCTGTCCTAAATGTTCCCTTTCGGAACATCCCTTTAATAATTTCCAACATTGGAACAAAGACAATCACGCGTGAGGCTTAAAACAAAGCTAGATAGAAATTTTCCAGCAAGCAATTGTTAATTTAAGGTATTAGAGTTCAACAAATATTAATAGCAATAAATTATCAGACCATACCTTCCCACTGTTCCCCAAGGACTTCTTCATGCTTATAAACTGGCTGAGCCGCCCAAACAAAGTATCCTCCTGTCCGGAGCATCCTATCAACCTCAAGGAGTAATATTCCATCTTCATTACACAATCATTGAAGGTGGATTAAGGGGAACAAAATATAATTAGTAAATAACCCCAGATTAGTAGGCGCAATACATGAAATGAAATCCCAGATTAGTAAGCGCAATAAATGAAATTCAAGGAAAAATTCATAAATATTCTAAGAATTCACAGATTTTCCTTTTCTTTTCTTTTCTTAGTTATAAGAAAAAGAACACATACCATCACGAGTCCAATTAATCCTACAACGTGAACAATGTATTAAGTCAAAGGCTTGACTCGGATATAATAAACGGTGAGTTGCGAATGCTGCGACCATTGCAGGCACACCACGCTCAAGAGCAAATTGAATCTGGTTCTCGTGAACATCTTTAGGAGCAACTGACATAGTCAGAACATTCTGCGACAACAAATAAGCACCAAAACTTGCGACACCACATCCAACATCCAACACAACTCTGGTATTACGACCAAATGCGATATCAGGGACCATCTGCACTTAAAGAATACAAGTCCACAATCAGAAGTTAGGTACAATAATAGTAATAAAATTGTTTTCATCCCTCCTTAAATGAATAATTTAAACATTGTTATTAATAACCTTAGATATATGATCCAAGTACTGGTCTGCTCCATGTATAAACTGAGTGCCACCTCCGGGGAAAGTAAACTTATCACCCTTCAGGGAAACCCAGTTTTGACCTCCCTTGTCGTCAACTAAACGCTTATGAGGTACATTGTTGTACCAAACCTGCAAACTCACGGCATTCTCTTAAGATTAAGCAAAGCTCAACATGAAGTGGGGAAAATCTTGAATAACAGAAACTGAAAAAACTGCTGGTCAGCCAAACCGCATTCTTCCAACCAAAAGAAAAAAGAAAAAGAAAAAAAAAACACTATATATATGCTTATATATTATATGTTCATACATTATATAATCTCTAGCAAAATTGGTAATAGAAATAGGGAAAAAAAATCAAGAAACTCAATCCATGCACTGCTTATATGTTTATGCATTATATAATCTCTAGCGAAATTGTAGAAAGAGATCTCGAATTTCTACAATTAGGATCCATATGAAGCCAAAAAGAAAAAAAAAAAAAAAAAACAATAATAATAGAACAGATTCAACACCGAATATCTCTTTTTCTTCGATTTTAACCAGTCCAAGGTCATGGAGGTAGTGATAATAGCGGGAAAAGAAAGCGAAAAATACCTGGTCGCGGCTTTGCGGCCAAGGAATCGGAGACTTGTACTTCTTAGGCGGTGGAACCAAGCAATTCAAAACGCGATCAGCCTTGGGACAATGCCGCTCGAATTTCTCACCTCTCTCCGTCGATTTGAGCCGCCAAATCGCCCCTTCGTTGTCCAAGCAAGGTATGTACTCACTCTTACTGCTCGGACACAGCTTGAACTTCTCAACGCGAACCCTACCGGAATTACTCCCTTCGCTCTCCACAATCTCAGTCCCATTCGCGCTCCAATTCTCCACGACCTCGTCCGGATCGAACTCCCCGACCTCGAACTCGTCCGACATCGTCCCGTTCTTGTCCACGATCCCGAACCTCTTCATCTGCTCCGCCTCCGGCGGCGGTGGCGGAAGGACCGGCGGCGGAGGAGGAGGAGTATTCTCGGTGACGGTTAGGGTTATATTGTAGGAAGCGTTGAAATTGGGGGAAATTGAGACGGAAGAAGTTTGGCGGGGAGTGTAGAAGACGAGCTGCTCCAAGTTTTCGGCCCATATCTTGCCGAGGTAGAAGAATGTAGCCGATACGAGAAGGGAGATCGCGATCTTCACTATGAATGAGGGTCTCAACAAATCGCCATTGTTGAGCGACTTCATGGTTTCCCGAATAGCAAGTTTTTATTTTTGGAACTGGTGAGGTTTTTCTTTTGGTTTTGGAGTGTTTAACTGTCAGTAGTGTCTTTCTTTATTCACGCAAGGTTGTCTATGAAATAGAGACGAAAGCCTGTCGTTTTCCTGCCTTCTTTAGGAGTCGAAGGGGTAACACGTGAAATTCGAAAAAGAAAAAAAAAACACACACACACGCACTATTTTCCTAGAGAATAAACCGTTGAGATAATCTTTCTTTCTTCTGATGCAATTCTTGTTTTAAGAGGATTAATTTCATGCTCGGGAGTTATTTAATTGAAGATTAACGTAGTAGGATAACTATAGTGACATTTTTTTTCCTGTTTTTAGACTATATAATTATAGTAATACAAATTAATTCACCTTAAGATGTGTACACCAAACTGATAAACATGTGTTCCAATCATCTCTAATGTGTTGCTAAATTAATATGACAATATCTTGGTACAAATAAAAGGTATGATAATATTAAATTTTAGTATTTGAGTAAAAATATCGCTATCTAATGCAAATCTATTTTTTTTAAAATTTGATATATACAGTACTTAATACTTAATTCAAGAGTAAATATAACATACACTAAATTTGTGGTAAACATTTAGATATAATACTTAAAAGAGCATTATGCATTATGCATTGAAATATAAAATAAAGCTCGGTTGGATGAATTTACTTGAAAAAAACCAACTCGAGTGATGAATTCAGCCCAAGTATACATTTGAACTCAGAAATGAACTCGAGTTACTCGGCCAATCTTAAATTCATCCTCTCCCCCTCTACTCGAGTAACAAAACTGCTAAAAAAACTTTGGCAAAGTCCTTCTCCTCTGACGTGAACTTCTCCAACATCCCACCTACGGCGAGGCGCTATGCTTCTTCTCTGCCTTGAGAACTTCGGCGAAGTCCTCCTCCTCCGCCGCCAGTCACCTTTGCGTACTTGTCGCCGGCCACCTATGCGCACTCTCCGCCACGTGTCCGACGACACCGCCCTCACCAAATAACTCTCCGACCGCAGACGTACGGAACCCAACCATCCATTTGTCCAATTTCGGCCGAAATCGCCATCGACGCTGCCTATAAGTCGCGACCCAGCCGTCGTCGGAGGGGATTTGGAAACTCGGGTGGATTGGGTTGTGGGATTGCAAGGAATTGTTGTTTGTTGGGCGGTTGATATGTACGGAGAGAGTGGTTTAATTGTTGTTTAGAAGGTTTTTTCTGGAAAAACTTCATGGTATTTTAAATTGCATAAAATTAAATAAATTCAAATAAAGAAAAAAAAATATTTTTTCTCTCCTTACTATTTACAACTCAAGTCTTATTATACACTCAAATACAAATTTAAAAAGATTATCATCTCAAATCATAACTTAAATGTACACAACTAAACACAAACTCAAGTTACAACTTTATCTTAAGTTATAACTCAAATTCAACTTAAAAAATACACTCAAATCACACCCCAAAAGAAGAAGCCTTATGTAGCTCAGTGCTTCGCTAATTCTGCCTTTTGTTCTCAAGTTGATTTTGTTGACTTATGTTTAATGCTTCTAGGGCCTCTTATAATGACTGTTGCTTTGGAATTGAGTTAACAAAATTCATTTCACTTAAAAAAAAAAAGCAAAAAAGGTTGCAAAGACATGCTTACTATATTTTCATGAATTTAGAGAAAAGTAATGAGTTCATAAATAAAAATGAGGATTAATATTGATTCATTTTAGTGTTTACTTACCTCTTAGAAATTAGAATAGAATACAATTCAATACACTTTTTAGTATTATTCAACTTAATAATAGAAATCTTAATAATGTAATTACTAAAGTATTATTTTACATAATTAATTAAATAACTATTGACGAGTAATATTTGAATTTACCAATGGTATAGAAGTAAATTTCACATTATTTTCCTTTAATCGATAATCAACATTAAGAGGGTAAATAATCTCTCATATCAATCACATAAATAGACATTATTAATGACTTTTGTTTATTTGAAACAAAATTACTACATAAATCAAATTCACATGACTCCCATCCATTATATATCTATTCTCTATATAAGAAGCACAGATGACGGTTGAAGTTTTAATACTTCAACTGTGTGCTTACTTGTTTTTTTTTTTTTTTTTTTTTTTTTTTTTTTTGGCTTTTAAGTTTTCTTTCCTAATTATGTTGTTCAATTTTTTTGCCTTCCCATTTTCTTTGATTGTATTTTAAATGTTGTTCTTTTTCCTCTTCTTTTTTAAATCTTGTATTTTTCATTGTTTCTCATTAAAATATTTTTTCATTAATTTTCTCTTTGAACACCTCATTTATTTATTTTTTTACTTTCATAAATATTTTCACTAATGAATATATACTTATCGTAGAGAAGATGTATATATTTTCTCAATTTTTTCAACCATCATTATGCATAATATGAAATCCTTAATTCCTGTAGAATTATAATCTTATTTAGGTTAAAATTTAAAACTTGTTATGGGAAAATTTTCTATGAATATCATTTTTTAGTTTTAAAAATAATTATATATTGGCTATACTCATTTAGGTTTATCATTATTAGAACATTATTGGCATCCCTCAACAAAAAAAAATATGATTAGTATGTCATACTTAATATAAGTTAGCATGTGTGGATAAATTTTGTACTTTTTGTTCTTCAACTTCTTACCTTCACACTAAGAAATTTTTCTTCCACATTTTGCTGCATGCTTTTGCTTTGCATTTGCTTGTTCCTGTTTTTCCCTTCTTTATTAAAATTTGTATTTTTGATTGTTTCCAGGTAAAATATTTTTTCATTAATTTTCTTTTTAAACACCTCATTTAGTATTTTTTTTTGTTATATAAATATTTTAACTTGTGAATATCTATACGTTTTACTATAGATCTATACTATTCTAATTGAGAAGATGTATCTATTTTTTTCAACTTTTTTCCACCATTATTATGCATAATATAAAATTATTTATGTTCATACAATCACAATTCTATTTAGGTTAAATTTAAAAACTTTCGAATAAGTTTACACTGTTATTGTAAAAATTTTTATGATATCATTTTTTTAGTTTTAGCTGGCTATATTTATTTACACTTATTAAAATATTGTTGACATCCCTAAGAAGAGAAAAAAGAAAACATTATTAGCATGTCTTATTCAAGTTCAACTTAAATTATAATTAGCTTGAATTATCAGCATACTTCTTTATTTATTTTCATAGAGAAACTATTAAAAAATATTTGTATGGAAATATGACTTAGCAAATTTAATAATTTTAAATAAATTTAAAAAAAAGACGTGTAAATTGCGAAGTGAAAAAAAATGTCTAATAATTTTAAATAAATTTTAAAAAAGACATGTAAACTGCGAAGTGAAAAAAAAAAAAAAAAATTGTTATTCTCTCTAACTAGTGTCTTTAATATGTATCCATATCTCTACTTGGAGAAACCCCACTCCGATGATCAAGCAAACCCTTTTCCATAAAAAAATAGATAATATTACAATTTTATCAAAAACAAAACACCAAATATTCTTTTCAATTGCCGACTACATATTTAAGCTATTAGCTTAAAGCCTTATTCATTTTATAACTCAAGTCATAATTCAAGTTTTATTATTACAATATTTTCTCTCATAAAAATTCAAATTTAACTTTTTTGTTACAATATTTTTATCTCACATACACAACTAGAATGATAACTCATATTATGATTTGAGTTGTGAAATGAACATACTAAGATTAAAACTTCTTACATATGCAACCCTTTATCTATGTCCATAACAAGGTTTTGATAATAATGCCCTTGAAATTTTCTTTACTTGAAAAACTTTTATAATCAATCCAATGAAATAACTTGGACAAGTATGAAAATATTAAATAAAATCTTATTAAGTAAAAATAAATGTTAAAAATTATAAACATATATTTGCTCTTTGGCATCAATCCTAACAAAAGTTTAATGAAAATAAATAAATAAATTCAAGGCTTGTCACTATCATTCTCCTCTTGACCATTTATGAAGACAATTTCATAGCATTCAAATGCAGCAGAACTATTTTATTTAAAAAAAATGCATCAAAACTATTTTTTTAATAAAAAAATCATCACACTTTTACTTAAAAAAAAAGATATTAAGAAAAAAGCATCACACTTCCATATTTTTTAATTTCCGTTTATTTTACTTTTTGAATAACATACTCCTTTTTTGTTCTTTTTTGAATAAAAAATGAATACCATGTCTTTTTTTTTTCGGTTAAAAGAATGCATGTCAAATATATATATATATATATATATATATATTACTGATAAAAAAAGGTTAAAATTGCGTCTTCATTTATGTTCTTGTCAGTAAGCATTTAAAGAGTTTAAAATTACATTAATTAAAGTCATGTTCGGTAATATAATTTTAACCTCACAAGAAGAATGAAAATCAATCTCTCATATTACTTCAAGAATCATAATAGCTCGAATATATCATGACTTGTTTTGTTTGGTGAAAACGCATTCGACTCGATAATTAATACCATGTCATGTACTTTTGATAGAGCATTAATGCAGCCACAGCATTGGCCATAATACCACAAGTCCATAATCCAGTAAAAACAACAAATACGTAAATCCCAGATTCCAAGCCAAGTCCTCAAACCGGGCCCACCGGTTTAATAAAACCGGCTCACAGCAGTCCGGACCGCCACCGGATTTCAAAAACCCAATTTTCCAAAACCCGAAAAAGGGACAAAACCACCGGTTACAAAAACAAAAGAAGAAGTAATCTCTCCAACTTCTCTCCAATCCCCTACCTCTCCGGCCACCGTACAATTCGCACGATTTACAGGTTGGAAATCGGTTCCGCCGCTCAACCCTGCAATTCGCCGCCTTAAGCGGTGGAATGTAGGAGGAAGAAGAAGAAAGGAAGGAGCTTTTTGATCATTAGCCATGGCGAATTCGAATAGGCACCCACGGGTGGAGGTCGAACCGGAGCCGGAGACGGGGCCGTCGTGCTCGAGGTCGGTGAGCGAGACGGTGAACGGGTCGCACCGGTTCACGATCAAGGGGTACTCTCTGGCAAAGGGCATGGGCGCGGGGAAATACATCGCTAGCGACACCTTCACGGTGGGAGGCTACGACTGGGCGATCTACTTCTACCCCGATGGGAAGAACCCCGAGGACAATTCCATGTACGTTTCGGTGTTCATCGCGCTGGCCAGCGACGGCACCGATGTCAGGGCTTTGTTCGAGTTGACTCTCGTTGACCAGACCAAGAACGGGAAGGATAAGGTCCACAGCCACTTCGATCGCGCGCTGGAGAGTGGGCCCTACACTCTGAAGTACAGAGGCAGTATGTGGTATGGATTTTTTGTTTGTTTGTTTGATGAGTTATTGATTGATTGGTTAATTATTTGTTGTTTGTATGGTTATTTTAGCGAGTCTTGTTTGGTAATTTGGTGTTGAATTTGAAGAAATTAATGGCTCAGTTAATTTATGCAATTCCAGTGGTGACAAAAGGATGCTTTTTTGTTTGGTGAGAAATTATGGTCGAGTGTTTGGTTGATGGATTTTTGTTTAGCAGTTTATTTTGGTGGATTCTGGTTGGAAATGTTGTATGATGGCGTTCATTCTTAGTTTTGAGGTTATGAGGAAGTATCTATTTGGTGAATTATGATTTTGGAAACTGGATTTTTAGTGGGATAGTGTTTAGTTGATGCTGAATTTGAAGAAATGAAGATGGTTATGTTTTGCGTTGTTTGCTCGAATTAATTAGGCAACTATTTGGAACTTTCAGCGATAAATTTTGGCTCAAAATATAAGCAGAGGATAATTCTCTATCTGGTGAAAAATTTACGGTAGAGGTGTTTGGGAAAGCGATTGCTTAACGATTTGTACTTGAACATGTGACCGTCATTCTGGAGCACTTGCCACTGAGGGGAAAACTCATGCAATTTCTGATATCACATTTGAAACTAAAGAGTTTGCATTTTATTTATATCAGTAGATTTGTGATTTATCAATTTTCTGGAATTCATTGCTGTTTTTTTTTTAAGTAGTAATACGGCATGGCATTCTAGTGTTGGGGAATATTGCATATCAGCATGCATTTTTGTCTGAATTAGTGTGCTTTTGTGTGTACAAATATTTATATTTTGGGTAGGTCTTGTCTTGCACTTTTGCTTATTACTCATTATTCTTCTCTACATCCATTTTAGGGGGTACAAACGCTTTTTCAGAAGAGCAGCTGTAGAAACTTCTGACTATCTAAAGGATGATTGTCTTGTAATGAAGTGCACTGTTGGAGTTGTCAGAACTCACCTTGAGGGACCAAAACAGTTTGCCATTCCTGTACCACCATCAGACATGGGGCGAGGGCTTAAGGACTTGCTAAGTTCTGAAGTTGGTTGTGACATAGTTTTTCATGTGGGGGACGAAAGTTACAAAGCCCATAAGTTGATACTTGCTGCTCGTTCTCCTGTGTTTAGAGCTCAGTTTTTTGGACTTGTTGGGGATCCTAGCGTAGATAAAGTAGTGGTGAAAGATGTTGAGCCTTTTATTTTTAAGGTAAGTATCTTCTTTTCAACGTATTGCTTAATTTTATTTGCATTTGAATGGAAAGAAAAGATTCAAGAATGTCCACTCATTTCAATTTCAATTTCAAGTTTCTTAACAATTTTATATAATGTTAAGCTCATTATGTTACCGTGTGTCTTTGATGTTGGTCCTACGGTCTGTAATTCATTGGTGAATGCAAATATGAAAATAGGTGTTACTTATTTAGAACATGTTTATTTAGCATGTCTCATAAGTTCATTTAACGTGTTCTGCTTTCCCAGGCGATGCTTCTGTTTATTTACAGTGACAAACTTCCTGATGTGTATGAGGTTATGGGCTCATCGTCTATGTGCTCATTCACTGTTATGGTGCAGCATCTCTTGGCTGCTGCTGACCTGTATAATCTTGATCGACTTAAATTGTTATGTGAATCAAAATTGTGTGAAGAAATCAATACTGATACTGTTGCAACCACACTTGCCCTGGCTGAGCAACATCATTGTCCACAGCTCAAGGCTATGTGTTTGAAATTCGCGGCAAATCCAGCAAACTTGGGAGGTGGGTGTTGGCCATATAATCTGGCAGTGCAAACTTTAGGTTGCATAATTTCAAAATTTATTTATTATTAACTTACATTAGGTCTTTATGGTTTTTCATGTGTCTAAGTTGGAATTTTATTGAAGGTTCTTTTTCATTAATCTGTATTCTTGGTTTGCTGGGGTGTGGGGACTTTTCCTTTTTCCTGTCAGATGTGTAGAAACAAAGCAATTCATATGGCAACATAAGAAAATACTACCATCTAATGGTGCCTTGATTCACTGTTATGCGTCCATTTTGGAACTTGTGTTTGCATCATGTGTGGTCTTGATCAGTAAATTTCTTTCTTTTTAAGCTCTTCTTTTAGGGGATTTTGTCTCATATGCTTTGTGCACCTACAGCTGAATAGTTTTTGGTGTAATCTTTGTATTACTCATTGAGGAGTTCAACTGATGTATCCACTGTGTGTTTACAGCGGTAATGCAATCGGAAGGGTTCAAGCATTTAGAGGAAAGCTGTCCCTCAATGCTGTCGGAGTTGTTGAAGACATTTGCCTCAGTGGATGAAAATTCGACGCTTTCAGGTAGGAAGAGGACCGGCAGCACCATAGGGCTAGATCTGCCAGTGGATGGTAATGGGGCTCCAGCAGAATCGGCTAATCCCAATGGCAGGCGTGTGAGGCGGCGAGTTTAGTGCGCGTAATTTGCTCTTAGGTGAGGCAAATCTTGAACAAACCTTCAGTCATGAATAGGAAGTTACTTATAGCGAGTCATCTATCTTTGGTCCTACCTGGTCCTTCGAAAAGTTTCTATGCCTTGATGGTTGCAGAAGTTTGTTCAGTTTGCCCTTATGCTTAGGTTTAATCAGGAATCTTTCGGCACTAAGTATAATAGTTTTAATGGTTTGGTTGTGTTTACTATTTGGTGTAATAAAACATTGTTTTCCTGATCTATATTTTCAGACCATACCATTTATTACTTGTTACTGTATATGTCCTGTTATAATACTTGTGTAGATAGCAAATCGAAATAATATACAAGATGCAAGTGAAAATAAGCATTTGATCAAGTAGAGAAAACATAAACTATACATCTTCTTTGGATACATATGCTTAAAGCACAAGTAAAACGCCTAAACAAAAGACATTAAGGCTTAGGGTAACTAAAGCTTAAGAGTACTAAAGAGCTAATACTCGACATAACGTGGGTAGCAGGGTTGTAGCTATTTAATTTTCTTGTCCAGAAGAGAAGCATCGTTGATGGTGCGGTAAGGAGGAGGAGGCTTGGAGCCCTGATGAAAATCTGGCCACAGAAAGGCCCCGATGGCGAAATCTCTCTTGTAAGCCAAGTCGCCATGAGTCGGCAGGCCATACTGGGCGAGAAGTTGGTCAAGCTTCCACTCCGGCATGTCCTGGTAATCCTGCTTGGTGTACCTCGGGTAGTGAAGCGGCATCTGAAAGTAGCTCACCCCACTCTCATTCTTCTTCTTTAAGCTTCCCATCGCATGTGTGATCTTCAGGCTTTTTGGGTTGTGAAACTACTGCTTGACGAAATAATCTTATATAGTCAAGTGAGAGAGGGTTCTAGAGGCACGCAAGTGAAGAGGGCCACAAGGATTTGTTGGTGTACCTTCCCAAGTAACACAAATATTGGCTTGGCTGGTTATTTGGTACTTTGTTCAAGCATGCATGTGCAGTTTCACAAATACTGCATCAAGTTAATTGACTTCATATTTATCAGAAAAAACAGCATAATACTTATGAAGGGATATTGATAAACTTGGAATAAAGAGGATATAAGTATAAATTTATGTCTGATGCGGATAATAGTTTGGACTTGGGACTAAAAAAAGATTTTATATCACATACATAAATGGGCAATAGCTATATACAATCCCCTCAAAAGTATTCTAATACAATACACATACCCCGGCTCCTATAATATAAAACAAGGAGAAAATTTGTTAGAACTTACTCTAAAGTTTATGGATCTAGATTTTTATTTTTACTCTTGATTAATATTAGTCATTTTTTAAGGGATTAATGCCCTTTTTTACTCATATAGTTATTTGATTAAAAATGTATTATTAGAAAGTAAAGGATAAAAATTCAAATTTAGAGTATTTGTCTCTTTTTTTTTCTTAAAACATGTGGTCTTAAATTATTCCTTATAGAAGCCAAACCATTTGTTTTTTCACCTTTAATACAACATTACAACTAGCCTCACTGTCATATTTATATTCTATTCAATATATAAAAAGTGAGTGTGACTTATTATGCACTCTTTTAAAATTTTTAGGTAATTAGTACGGATGGTCCCTAACCTCTTTAGCAGGTAACAGTTTGGTCTCTATTTTTTTAATTTTGACAAAATGATCCCTAAAGTCATTAAATTGGTGCAATTAAGTTATTTTCGTCCAATTCCGTTAAATTTTTAATGGAATCCTTCACGTGACGGTCATGTGCATCTATTTTTTGATAAAAATACAAAAATACCCTCATGTCTCACAAGAACCAACTAAAACCTATTTTTTTATATATAAACAAAAAATAAAAAACCAACTTCTTTCTTCTTGTTCTATTCAACCCCTAACCCTAACAAGAGGTACCGCCTCCATATCGGCGCCGCCGCAAGCCCAACCCTAATAGACAACTGATTGCAAAAATTGATTTGTTATTCTTGTTCATAAATTGATTTGTTGTTCTTTTTTTTTTAACTGATCTGATTTTATTATATTAATTATATTGAAAAGGATTTAGATTTTACTTAAATAACCTTTTAAATTAGGTCACATGTTCTGCACATGATACATTCTGTTAAAAATTAGACGGAAATGACTTAATTGTACCAATTTAATGATGATGTGGATCATTTTGTCAAATTAAAAAAATAGATATTAAATTGTCACGTACTAAAGAGATTAGAGACTATTTGTGTCAATTACCCAAAATTTTTTCAATATGGAGAATAATTCCAAATCAAATAAAACAAACAGACATATATGGAACTCACAAGAAAGCCATGGTCCTAATAGACAATGATTGCAACTTGCACTAATAAACTTAAATGAAACGCTTAAGGGAGTAGACGTGTAGCAAGTTTTAGGCATATATACCTAAATAGGTCTATCAACAATTGAGCTCACACATAGTTTTTTAACGACACCTTTACAAGTGGATAGAAAAATCTAATAGAACGAACTCAAGAGACCTGAGGCATGTTTGTTTTATATACTCAAATTTAAATATTTAATTTTATTATAATATTTTTTTCTTATAAAAAAATTTTAAATTTTAAACATAAAAAATAATAATTATAGTTTAAATATGTCTTCTAAATAGGCTCGTAGTATCGAGGACACACGAAACACATTAAGAACAATATTAGCAAACTTAAAACAAGCCATAATTCTAGAAAGCAAGACAAACACACCACCAAATCGGTAAAAAATATTGTTGTTGTAATTCACAATACATTAAAAAAAAAAATCCCAAGCACCAATGACAAGATCTCCAAGGATGAGGAGATTAGTGCATAACCCAAAAAAAAAAAAAAAAAAAAAAAAAAAAAAAAAAAAAAACTGGAATATAGTGCAAAACCCAAAAAAAAAAAAAAAAAAAAAAAAAAAAAACAATAGAACTGTAGTGACATATGGTTTGATTGAAGTGCCGCCCGAATAGCAACACGTCATAGCCACACGCCACCATCGTCATCGCTAGAAGACAACACCACCATCAGTACAGGAACCTGCAGCTTTGCAAATCAAATTCCAAAAGGATTTCGATCGCCAAAGGGTCTGTTTGTTTTATGTTTTATGCATTTAAATTTTTAATTTAAATTTTATTATATTATTATTTTTTTTAAATTTAAAATTTAAATAT